CGTTAACGTACCGTCGCCACACCTCTCTTCTTCTCTCTCTCTCTCTCTCTCTCTCTCTCTCTCTTCCTTCTTTTTCCACGATCGTGTCGCCTATATTGTCGTTATCAAGCGTTCGAGGTTGTTTAAATAAATATTAAGATGGAGATTTATCGGTTGACGTCGACTCTTATTACCGATACTTTCCATCCAAAGTATAAATCGCCCGATTTTATGCTATTTACGCTCGCGAGCATCGGTTACCAGGGATTTATCGTATCTAGATAACGATAGTCGAGTTGTGCTTCCGTGTAAATTATCCTCTCTTCGTATCTATCCTGTTATTGATGACAATAGATAAGATTTTGACGGCTGCGATAAAAGATTCACGACGATGGAAAAATGGTGAAAATTACATTCCTCGAAGGGGGACCCCTTTCATTTCCAAGCCACGCGTCTTCCGCGTATTAAAATGTAACAGGCCGGCCAGGTAACAACGGTGGCATTGTAAAATTCATGAAGCGCGACGAGGGGCTGGGAGCGAGTTGCGCAATGCCGTCCGTATTTCTTCCGTGTTTGTTGGTAGGTGTTGTTATCATCACGGTGCGGATCTCGGGGAGGAAGAATTTCGCGCGAGTCGAAATTCCGCCATAATTTTCGAATCCCTCTCCCTCCCTCGAGATGGTTGGTGGGTCCGAAATCCGTAAGAAATCGTTTCCTCCCTGTTTCCTTGCCGTCACGGACAAGAAACTCTCTCTCGTTCGCCGGATTTTCCTGTTTGGAGTTTGCAAGTGGCGCGCGAGTAACAGTCAAAACCGTGAAAAGTTAAACCGTGCGAATCTAATTTAAGTTTCTCTAAGTAATAGGGCGGGAGAGGGGAGGTCTGGCTAAGAGAGAGAATGGATGGCACAGGTTTACTTTACCGACCGACCCAAGTTTCGTTCAAACGTGCCTGTCGCGTGGGGAATACGTGCGAATACAGTAGCGTTAAGTTGAAAATATCCGCGATAATTGAAACCACGTAGACACGACCATACTTCTCCAAAATCTTCGTACGAAAATCCTTCCAGTCCTGTCGTTTGTGGAACGCGATTTATCGAAACCGGCTTCCCCCGCAAGATAAATTGGATCCTTACGTTGGAAATTTTCCTTCCTTGGCAAAACCAGGTTTAAAAGTGTTTCTCTCGTTGTTTTTTTTTTTTTTTATCACGCGATAATAAATCCGGACGATTTAATTTAGAATTATTTCGGCCCCGACTCGGGGATGCGAAAATTTTCAATTTCGGCTGAAATCTGAAAACTGATTATTCTAGCCCCGTCTCCGTCTCGTCTCGCTCACGCTCTCAGGAAATATAGTTCGCCAAGACGAAGGGGGAGGGGGGGGGGAAGGTAGGGAACTCGTAACACTTGTCACTAGCACGGGGCCGCGTTTTGTATTAAGGAGAATGGGGTTGCGGATGGAGGACGATGTCTGACAAATGCGGGCCCCTTACCA